TAGCTGCAGCATTAGTCAGCACAGAGACCTGAGGAAAGTTCCAGAAAGCTCCAAGGGGTTTGTCTGGTCCACAGGCAAAAATCACTATTTAAGATTACAGTGGCTACATTTATTGAGGAGATCTGCCTTAGATGAGGACACTGAAGTCCACAAATACCTACACACAAAAGTGGCAMAAACTGGTTGCCCAACTTCAAAATAATGTTTGTTTTCTGAGCTACCAAACAGCCTCAGAAAATGAAGGGAGAAGTTTTTTCTCCAAGAATATGATCACTCAAACCAACTCACCTCGTTCACAGAAGGGAAATGCTTAGAGCAACATTGATGTTCCTTCTTCCAGGACCATGAGATTTCTCGGAAATRAGCTTAAACTCAGAAGAGATTATAAAGGTCCTCTGAACTACAAAATCAATCCACCTTCCCCAGTCGAAATAATATTCCACCAGCAAAGGATTGGAAAGGAAAACAGAAAATGCCTTGYTAATATGACCCACAGCATGCATAGGGCACTTCAATACTTCAACAAACAGGATCACAAAAGCTTGCTGAGGAACTAATAAATTCTGTGGTTTTATACCATAATGGGTTAAACACAGTGTCAGCAYGAAAAGCTGCAATTTCTAAATTAAAGCATTTGCTGAACTGTCAAAATAACACATCAGTTTGAAGCAAACCCTGAAAGATTCCCACAAGAGTCAACCTATTACCAAAACAAATGGATTAATAAGTCCGGTATTGATCTGCCCAAAGCTCAGGATGCTTTTGCTGATCCCTTTGGAATCTCTTYCCACAGCAATGCACTGGGAATTCARCAGGATGGGCYACAGGGAAATCATTAAGGAAAAATAATAAAGGGRGAGAAGAAAATGAAGAAAATCTCRAGCCTTTACCTGATGGGTTTCTGATTCTCCTCTCTCCCATGAATTAATGTCACTCTGGCTGTCTATCCCAGGGAATGCATTATTCCTGGGAAACACAWGGATAAACCACTTCTCTCCAATAAYCAGCTATTTAAAGCACCTATGATGACTCTGCATGGGGGAAAGTGAAAAAGAACTGATGCAAACCTGCAGACAAGAAACAAAATAGAGCTGGAAACCAACACCTCTGTGTGTCCCTGGAAGCAGGAGGGTCTGGAGATTTTTCCAGTTGCTGTTCTAAAGCAGCATTGATTTATTCAGACACAAAAGATTAAGACTGTTGGGGAAGATGTGATTTGAAATTCAGTCTCTGGTGATGATCTGGATGCTTCCATACAAATGGAAATATCTATCCCTSTGAATGGATATTTGATAATGCTGCCTAATGGAACTTTATTGCGTTTTCAGCTGTGTTCCCATCAGGTTATTGAAATTCTTGCTACTGTAAGGATGCACGAGGAAATCTGCAGTTTGCAGTGAAAGGCACCAAAAGGGGAAGATACAAATGTGCTCTTTACCACCTCCTTAGGACAGAAGGAGGACGGAGATTTATCCAGCAGAATGCACAAYGAAAATCAGGAAGGCAGAGCATGGSCCTGCTGACTGGAATGGMGCTAACTGTGATTTCCTACACCAAACCCAAAGAATAATTAACAATAGCTGCCTATAAAGAGAGATTTTATTATTTTTCTGACTGAAAATCAGTGGAAACTTTCACCATTTCATTTGTATGCAGAATTCTGCTCTGCCAGGGACACCTGCCAGTCTCCAGCAACTTAAGGCAAAGATCAATCCATTTTCTAATTAGAGATGGGAGTTAATGGCAGCTGAAATGACCATTTAAAATACAACAGGTCCTTAACAATGACTTCCCAGGATGCTGCTTGCCCCAGAGCATTTCCKTTGTAATCTTTTCAGCCTTTCCACTCTCCTGGATGATTTATGGTATCTGGGGGCTCCTTGGCAGTACTTTCTGTGCTGATAAAAGAGGAAAACCTTGACTGTATCTTACATTGTCAACAAATGCTTWTATATTTCCTAAGAGTTCTTGCATTTGTCCTTCAAATTTTCAGAGTTAAAAATAAAATGCTAAAGCCTCAAACTGCCTTTTCCTACAGAATAATGCCAATGAGCATCTCRTCAATGAGTGCCATGAACTCTGCCCACCATCAGAACGTGCTTAATTCCACTGGCCTCACCCTGTAATTCCCAACTGGATACCAAACCTGGTGGTGACAGCCCAATTAGTTCTGCTGGCAACATTAATTAGAGGCTGATTATTTGAGAAACACAGCTGGCAAGTGCAAGTTCCGTGCAGCCCTCTGGCTAAAAGGGATATTACACCTTTAACAGGAGACATCAAAAAGCGTTTGCCCACACAAAGGAATTCAACAATTGTGTTTAAATTTAATATAACATAAGATAAAGAGTTGGGCTGGAGTAAAAGTCTGTCACTGGCTCTCACACAATATTATTTATGGCTCTATACAGGCCCAGCTCCATGACATTAGCAGGCAGAAACCTTAATACCTTGTGACACAGCTGGGCAGAGCCATCTAATATCACCCACGAACCCTTGAAAAACAAACACTCCTTCAAATAATTATGCTGTTCCAACATATTAACTTCCCAGGCACCAGCAAGGGAGCAGTGATGAAAGGTCCTGGTTTAGGGAAGACCAGTGAAAAGCCTTGTCTGTATCCCGGGCTTCAAATCAAAAACCTTTAATATTAGGATCACACTCTGCACTGAATAAATGTCAGAGAAATAAACTTGACGGAAAAATATATTTTTCATGCTCTAAAATGAATTTTATAAAGGACCTAGAACAGGAAACTATGAAGTCTTTAACCTCCAGGGGAAAAAAGAATCAAATACCACCCAGGTCACTAATAATCTAATGTCAACTGTTTCCATAAAAAATGGGCYGTTATAAATAATCAAAGCATTTAGTGGGAGCTCTGAGGATCTGTGTTATTCTCAGTTATTCTATGTCATTCCCTGTGCATGTTGATTAGAATTTTAAAGAAAGAGAAATGTCTCTCCCAGCCCTGTTTCCCCATCATTTATAACCCAGAGCATGAAATCTCTCAGCTCGCCTTCTAGATCCTTCCAGATCCTGATAYTGCTCAGCCTGGGTGCTGGAGAGAAAGTTTGCAACCTTATCTTCTTGAGAAGGCAAACACAGCACAGAGCAGCCAGTACAAGGTGAACCTCCCGGCTGCAGAGGYTGAGGATCCAAGGCAGGTTTGACTGATCTAAAGTGCCCATAATTCCGTAATTACACATTCCTGCCTCTGTGGGGTTGGCAGCCAGGGGCCATTCAACCCTGACTCCCACCTCCTGAAGCAGGATAATTCCCCTTCYACTCACAGACCTCTCTGATCACTGCTCTCGTTTGTATGGACAGGAAAGGTAACACAAATGTTTATGACATGCAAATTATTTTAATTCCTTACAGCACTCAGCAAACAACCGAACATTAAAACTTGAACAATGTGTGGGCAGAACTATTTATTCCACTCTGCTTTACACTCCACTGCATCAATGCATTTATTACTCTAATCCATCCATCTCATGCTGGCCAGTGCTTCTTTATTTTAAATGTACAGATCAGCACAGAGTTCTTCATTCCAAGAGATGTAAGATCAGGGGAGCTGCACTTCACCAAACGTGAGAGCAGACATGACCTCTGTCCTAAAGACCTGGACCAAACAGTCCAAACTCAGCATGAGGATAAACCCCCCCTGCATCCCAGAACTGAAGAATCATCTTTTCCTGCTCTAAAGGACTTCACTGAATGAAAAAATAATGGTATTTGCTAACCTGAAATAGCGATTTCAAAGCTAGATCCCAGGAYACAGAAGAGCTGCTTTTATCATGATGTACCCTATGGAAATTGTACCTGAAAATATGGGAGATTTCATGCCCTGAAATACTTTTTGCACCGCATTTCCATGAAGTGTCACATCCAAGGCCATCTGTGTTCATCTTTTTGGATGTAATATACTGTCCTAGTGGCAAAGAAAAGCCATTTAAAAACTATCTCGTGTTTCTCTTGGTTTTTCTGTCCTTAAGGCAAAGCGGAGCTAGTGCGGAGCGAAATCAATGTACCAGTCCCTGGCCAGCCCTTTCACCGGTGTTTTTGCGATGGAGTTGCCCTGATCCTCCTCGGGATTAAACAAACGCCACTCCCTCAGCCTTTCTCAGCCATCTTTCCAGCCCTTCCACGAGCCACTCTTCACGCTCCAGCTCCTCCATGTCCTTTCCAAAGACAAGAGTCTACAACTCAGGCTCGATGTAGGACACAACACCAGTTTTATAGAATCGGGATTATTTCCAGGCGGGATTTTCCGCCTCAGCAGCGGCCGGGGCCGAGGCGGGCTCCCCGCCCCGCTCCCGCCCTCAGCGCCCGCAGCCGCCCCTTCCCGCCCGGGGAGCCGGGCCGGGGTAAGCAGCGGGTTCCTGAGGGCTGGGAGCAGGGAAAGCAGCTCTTGGAGCCCGATTGTGAGGGTCGGGAGGAGGGAAAGCAGCTCTTGGAGCCCGATCGTGAGGGTCGGGAGGAGGGAGGAAGGGAAAAGCAGCTCCCTGAACCTGTTTGTGAGGACTGTGAGGAGGGAGGAGACACGGAGCAGCTCCCCCAGCCCCTTCCTGAGGGCCGAGAGGAGGCAAGGAAGGAAAAGCAGCTCCCGGAGCCCGTCCCTGAGGGCCGAGAGGACGAAAAGCAGCTCTTAGAACCCGTCCCTGAGGGCTGTGAGGAGGGAGGGATGGAAAAGCAGCTCCCTGAGCCTATTCACGAGGCCGAGAGGAGGGAAGGAGGGAAAAGGAGTTTCCAGAGCTCGTTCGTAAGGGCTGTGAGGAGGGAGGAAGCACAGAGCAGCTCCCCGAGTCCGTTCCTGAGGGCCGAGAGGAGGGAAGAAGGGAGAAGCAGCTCCCGGGGCCCGTGTGGGGCTGGCGGGGGCTGGGGGCAGCGGGCGTGAGGGGCGATAGCTGAGGGGGGCACGGCTCTGGGTGTGGGGAGTTGGCGGCCATGGAGCTGCTGGAGCGGGGACAGAGGATCCCATGGATCTGCTGCAGGGCTGGAGCTCCTCTGGAGCCAGGCTGGGAGAGCTGGGGGTGCTCACCTGGAGAGGAGAAGGATCCAGGGAGAGCTCAGAGCCCCTGCCAGGGCCTAAAGGGGCTCCAGGAGAGCTGGAGAGGGACTGGGGACAARGGATGGAGGGACAGGACACAGGGAATGGCTTCCCAGTGCCAGAGGGCAGGGATGGATGGGATATTGGGAAGGAATTGTTCCCTGTGAGGGTGGGCAGGCCCTGGATCCCTGGCAGTGTCCAAGGCCAGGCTGGACAGGGCTTGGAGCAGCCTGGGATAGTGGAAGATTTTTTCCCCCTATCTCATCTAAACCTACTCTCTTTCCCTTTGAACCCATTCCTCCTTGTCCTGTCACTATGTGCTYTTTTAAATAGTCTTATGTCATCTTTCCTGTAAGTTTCTTTTAGATAATGGRAAGGGAAGATTTGCATTTAATTTTTTTTTCATGAATAATTTTATCCAAGCATTGCTGTAATCCAGTACAGACTTGAAAGGAATGCTGCTCTGATTTCATGGCTAATGCTCAGTGCTAATTGTTACTGTGCACTTACCCTGTGGATCTGAACGTGTGCTGCTGTGACCAGTGCTTTGAATGTGTTGCCTTGATCAGTTGAGTTGTGATTATACACACCAGTTGTGGATGTTAAATCAGGTGTGAGCTGTGCTGTAACAGCTTTCTATGTATCCCATGTTGCTACAAGTAACCCAGTCGTCTGCCCTGTGGAATTGATCTTATTTCTGTTTTTATTTGTAGTGCTTCCCCATGGCAACTGCCCCAGCAGAGAGCTCTGGGAGCCATGACAAGGGCCTGGAGTTGAGCCAGAGTTACAGCAGCTCTGCTTTGAACTACTCAGGAGACACCTTTGAGTCCTTCAGTGAGRAGGAAGAGGAGGAGAGCAAAGCATCTGGATCCTGGTGTTCGACAGAGGATTTGGGGGGCTCAGCTGTRTCAGAGGCCTTGGAAAGCACATCCTCATTGGCAGGCCAAAGCCATGCAGGTATGCAGAGCTTCCCCTGCTTGAGGCCTGTGTTTCACAGCTGCAGTCAGTGCAGTGGGGACTTGAATTAGCAAAAATAAAGGTGAAAATTGCATACRGTGCTCTTGCTGTGCAAAGCAGCAGGATCTCAGTGTGCTGAGTAGATCCATGCTTCCCACCCACTGGATTTCCCAATGGCCCCATGCAGAAGGAAGTGGCCATGGAAATCCTTCTGTAGTGATTTTGTGATTTTGAGGTTCTTTTGGCATCTTAAAAAACAATTCTACAAACTAATTTGACTGAGGATGTATGAAAGGTAGCTGGGCCATAAAATAGTTTTTCCAGGGGATAGTTCCAGGATTTGAAATACTGAAGTGGGCTAGGTAGGAGCTTAAAGCTGCATCAGATGGAGGATGAAGCAGCAGGACATCAGCTGAATGCCCTGTTAGGGTTCTTTTCTTTCTGTGGGGTTCTCTGTCATTCCTCTGTGTTCWTCTTTTCTCCAAATCTGGTCTGATGAGTATTTTGAGTATATTTGAAGAGGTGAATAACTTGTAAATCTCCTTTTAGAGATTTGGGAGCTTGCAGCATATATGAACATTGTAGCTTTAAAGATTAGTTGCAACACTTCAAGTATATTTTAAAAGCAGTATTAACAATATACATTTTAGTGTCAGCTAGCTGTATTTTTTGCAGTCTGAATTTACTCAGTTCAGCTTGATTAGCTGGACATAGCTATATGTGATTAACCTTGTCTGTAGTTTCAGTGGGAAGCTGTTTCTTTTCTATGGACAACTCCAGTAGAGATGTTCCTCCTGTCCCACATCTATCCAACGTTTTACTTGGGTTTTTCCTACTCTGCAGTAATAACCAGCACCATTATCATTAAGAAGGCTTTTAAAATATTGTCTAGGCCTGAAATCCCAGCTATGCAGGCCAAACTTTGCTGTCAGACACATATCCATGAATGTATCCCCTGTTTTTCATAGCACATAATTCAGCATTAGATATCAGTACTTTAAACATCTGAATAAAGAGGTGATCACTGTCTTGATGGCAATTCATAATCAGCATCTGATACATTTAAATTTTGCTCAAAGTTTTTGTATTTCTACAAATTGCACATTTTAATACTCTTTTTTTTTCTTTTTTTTATCTTTTTTTTTTTTTTTTTTTTCCTGGGATACAGGAATATTTTGTAAGTTGCTCCATGTCTAATGATTGAAATCCACATTTCTGGCATCCAGAAATCCATGCTAGCAGGAAATCCATGCTGTATGCATAGAGGTTTCTTTAATAAGTGTTACCACTTTTCATCTTTGCAAGGTTAATGTTTCATCAAATCCTGCAGTCTTCTGAATGCTCCCAGGCAAATGAGGAACTAGGGAATAACTCATAGAGAACTTTTTTTTGGATATGGATGCTTTCTGTGGTATATATGTCACTGAGAACAGCCTAGAGAAGAAATAAACCCCCAGTAGGCCTGTCCTGCTGCTGTTGCTGTCCCCAGAGGGACATGTTCATTCCTTCTCTAAGCCCTTGGAATCTGCATTTAGTCCCCTAAAACAGAATGGAGAAGTCAGGTGCTCCTTTGAACTGGGGCCATTCATTTGCATCTTTCTTTCAGTGGCTTCTCGGGCCTCTGAAGATTTTTGTCTTTTTACATCTTAGTGGTTTGCTCASTCCCTGCAGAACTGGAGTTCAGAATATTCTGAGTTGGAAGGGACCCACAAGGACCATAAAGCCCATCTGGAATAAACTGGAGAGTGGGGACCTGACAGACTTTTTATTCCCTCCATGCCACATTATTTTCACCTTGGATTAATAATCCTGAGAGAGCTCCCGAGGGCACTTGAGCAGTCACAAATGAGGAAATTGTGCAGGGCTGGAAATAAGTGATGGGGCTGCAGCAGGGAGGAGGCACAGGGGGTTAACTTGGCATTACAGATCAAATTGGATGTGCCAGCAGCYCTCATTTTCTCAGGGAATCCCATATTGTGGTTCAGGGGATGATTAGAAAAGARCAATGTGAGGTATTTTATGAGACACAAACTGAAATCCTTGGCCTCATCTGTGTATTCCTGGGGCYCAGGATTTCTTTTCCCTCAGCAGGGAAAACTGGCACATTCAAATGGTGGATTGTTTGCCTCTCACTTTGCTTTCCTCACCATGTATGTTCAAAGTTGCCTTTTTTCCTTGCAGTGGAGGAGTCTGAAGCAGTGGATTCTGCAGCTGTGGAAMGAGATGTCATAGAAAAATGGATTGATGCCATGGGAAAATGGATTGATCTGAAAAATAAAGAAACTGAGATTAAACCAGACAGATCTGTCATCAAAACTCCTGCTGGTGAGTTTGGTAATTTCAGCAGAGTTTGTAATTGTTTCTTTTGGCAGGGGGTGTAAACTTGACTTACATTTTATACACAGGCTATTAGGTTAAGCCAGCTRATTAGTCTGGTTTAATTAGCCAAGTAATTAAGTACAAAGTTTCTCTTTTATACTTTCTTGGAGAGCRATATATCTCCCATAACACGTATGGCTTTGATGCCCCCCATGTTATCCTCCATTACCACTAAATCTGGGAAAGGACATTAAAAAATGTCCCCACATTTTAAATTCARTTGCAATCCTCACATTTTTACTGGATTGTTCATTTTTTTTTTTCTCTCCAGCTGTACAAATACTAGGAAATTTGAGGGTTTTTCCCTCCAAAATAAGCATGGCTTCAGAATTCATTGTGTGAAATGTTTTTTTCCCTCTTGTTAATCAATGGTGTTGGTTATTGAATTCCTTGTTTRCCCTGTTTTAGTTCCTTTCCCAAGCTGAGGGAGGCAGCAGGGCACCAATTTTGGCAAGAGCAATGGAGCAGCTCTAACTAAATAATGATGGAGTGTAGGGAGGAGGAGGAGAGGRAAAGGAGGAAGGAAGGATCCATTTCCATGTACTGGTTATGCAAGGAACTGTGAGAGCAGATGGTGGGATGCAAGTCCTGCTAAAGTCTGTCAAAAAGTGGGTCAGAGATGCTATTTTTAATTAAGAAAAAAGAGCAAGAAAGCTGTAATTGAGCAAAAAATAATGGGAGCAGACGGGGAATCTTCCTCAATCTGTATGTTCATGGAAAGTGAGCAAACTTGGAGTTTTGTAGGTCACTGTAGCACTGATTAACCAKGAGATCCTGCTGCCTAGGCACCTCATGGCATGGAATTTGTCTACAAGCATCCTCAAACCACCCAGCTATCCTGGAAAAACAGGACCTGAGGTCACTTCTGGGCTATTCTTAATTGCAGAGCTCCTTCTCCACAGTGTGAGTCAATGTTTTGGGTTCCTGACTCATCTCCTGCATTCCTCTGTTCCTGCAGTTCAGTGAAAGCAGCTTGTGTGGAGCAGCTCATCTGTAGTAGGGAGGCTTCTCCTGGCCTGCTCCTCCAAGATAATCTTCCTAAAATATATCAGAGTCCTGTGACTGATTCATGGAGAAGTTGAAAGGGACCTGATGAGTTCAGAGCCACTGAATGAATGATGAACCTTAGCTGAAGGCTGAGGATGTTTTCCATCTCTACAGCGTTTTCCCTTGAAAGTTGAATCCTTGAAGGATTTTATTCATAGAATCACTTKCAGATTTTTGTAGTTCTGCACCAGGCAATCTTCTGCCTTTGGYTGATGGATGATGATGGTAGGGAGAGTCAGTGGTCACTGAGGCTTGAGCAGTGAGTTCTGCTCCATTATTTTGGGCTGCTGTTTGCAGGCCAGGGTTGTCTCCTGCCTGTCCTGTCACTTGTCACTGTGGCAGCCCAGCCCTGCTCAGGTGCATTGGTGCTTCCAGCCATGRTCAATATGAACAACACAAAATGTAGTTCATGCTTATCTTTCTTTGATGGAAACACAGTAYCCACATGACTGACAAGTTATCCCAAATCAATCATAATTAGCCATGMACTGCATTTTTTATTGCAGAATATTATCATACAAATAAAATAAGCACAGCAGCTTTTGTGTACTGATAGGTAAAAATGCTTCTTTTGGGCTTAGTGCTTAGTAGCCACCAAACTTGGTATTATTTTAGCAAATTGGAGATTTTTTTTAATGCAGTAGATGAGCTCACCTRGAAATGGATTGCTGCACAGTGAGTCCCCTCAGAACACGCAGCTCAGTGAATCGTGTGTGCGTTGAGCACACAGAGTACTCTGAGTTAGGGTTTGTTTTGTTGCCTGAAGACTTTCTTTCTTATCTTCCTGCTAATAGGGTTAAATGTGATGGGGGAACAAAAGGTTCTGGCTTGCCTATGGCAACACCCTGGAATGTGATTTTTATTTTTCCTAGTTTTCTTTGTGGGCTGAAAGAAGAAAAACCTAACTGCTGGCCTCCGGAGAAGTGAGAAATGTTTGTCATAGTTGTCTTTGTCCCTCCACCCCAGTGTGGCAGCAGGAGCTGTTATTAGGCAAATGTATCACAACATGACTGTAAATTCTCAGTTCCACAGAGATTATTCCATGTTAGTCATCTTAAAAATGTGCTCAGGAAGCTGCAGTTCTTCAACTTGGATGTATCTGAAAACTCAAGTTGGGCTTTTTAATCCCCTGACTGGTGCTATATTCACAAGTTGCCTCTCACCTTTGTAATGTGTCTCCATTAAATGCCTTGCCTGATTATTTTTCTGCACTGTTGCCACTGCACTCTTCCTGTCAGGAGTGGGAGCTTTGGTTGTTAATGTGCTATTTGGAGGCAAAGAAATGCCTGAGCAACATGAGCCTGTGGCTGAAATACAGTCTGGGCACTATTTCRCATTTAATCATTACTGTTACTATGACAGTGGTGTCAGGGTAAAAGTAAAGAAGGCCTTGAGGTTCCAGAGTTCTCTTCTGATTCTGCAATAAAATGGAATTTGTGTGGGTTAGATGTGGGAATTCAAATCAGCCAGGATTCTACAAGGATCTGTTTTCTTCTCACTGATGTTGCTGCAGACTGAGGACATCCTGCCCTGGCCACGTGCACTGGCACTCAGAACCTCCTATGCCCTGGGTTATCCCACAGTGAGCAGCAGAGGAGGGGGAATTCTGTCCCTCTACACTGCTCAGGTGAGCCTCCACCTGCAGAGCTGCACAGCCCTGGGACCCAGCACAGGAAGGGTGTGGAGCTGCTGGAGAGAGTCCAGAGGAGGCACCAGGTTGACCTGAGGGCTGAAGCCCCTCTACTCTGGAGCCAGGCTGGGAGAGCTGGGGGTGCTCACCTGGAGAGGAGAAGGATCCAGGGAGATCTCAGAGCTCCTGCCAGGGCCTAAAGGGGCTCCAAGAGAGCTGGAGAGGGACTGGGGACAAGGGATGGAGGGACAGGACACAGGGAATGGCTTCCCAGTGCCAAAGGGCAGGGATGGATGGGACATTGGGAAGGAATTGTTCCCTGGGAGGGTGGTGAGGCCCTGGCACAGGGTGCCCAGAGAAGCTGTGGCTGCCCCTGGATCCCTGGCAGTGTCCAAGGCCAGGCTGGACATTGGGGCTGGGAGCAGCCTGGGACAGTGGGAGGTGTCCCTGCYRTGGCARGGGTKGGATGGGATGGGCTTTAAGGTCCTTCCAACCCAGGTCATTGTGTGACTCTGGGATGATTCACTGTGCTGGAGTTTTACTCACTTTAAATTCATATTTATGATAAATAGCCTGACATTTCAGCCTGTTTCACTCGATTCTGTGTTATCTGCAGGGGTCTTTCACATGCTCTTCACTGGTCAGGCTGTCAGCAGTTTCATCTGAACTGTAAAATCGATTTAGATAATTATGAAGATGTTATCTGGAGCTGCAGAGATGAAATTTTCCTGAAGAACAGTTACCGATTATTGCCTTCCACAATTGTCTCTTTTTACTTTTAGCTTCTTAAAATTGAGTATCAGTAGAGCATCATAACAACAAAATGCCTGCCAATTTTCCTGTTAAATCAAAGTTGCACATCAAAGGAAAAGGAAACTCATGAAGAGTTTYCTCTTATCCTCCCTCCTCATGGATTTCAAATGCCACACTTAAGGCTGGAGTTGTACCCAGCAAGCAGAACCTATGTAGGTCACTGAGTTAGAACCCTCTCAGCAGGGTTTGGAATGTAGACATGGGGATTAGCTTATCTCTCCTGGGCTTCRGGAATCACAGCAGCTTCTTGGTGCACTTTGTGGGGTTTCACTTCTGGAATATTCCATATTTTGTGCCCCTCCTGCTGTGTGAGACGTGGCCCCGATTGGGGCCTGTGTAGGTGCCGCTTAGGCTGCCCTATTCTCCAAAGAAGAGAGGGAACATTGGATTTGGGGCAACCAAACATCAGGAAAATAACCTTCTGGAGCCACCATTGGCACTGGCAGGGCTTCTCTGCAGTGACCTTCAAATCTGCCCCCACATTCCAGCATGTCTGGATCAGACCTGGAAAGGAGGGAAGATGTGAGAGACACGGAATAAACCCAACCACCAAAGCATGAGCTGAGATCCCMTAGATAGGTGAACTTCCTGCAACTGGGGGAAAATCTGAACCTGGAAATTGTTCAAAGACCAACTTTCCTCATAGTTTTTTGTTCTTGTTTCAGTAAAATCCTAGTCCTTGATCTCTAATTTATATTCTTTCTGAGATTCTTGTTAAACATGAGTTAATATGGAAAAGTAACTGCAGCACGGAGTCGTGCAATGAGGTTTAAAAATTGCTGTTCCCTTTGCCAGTGTTTCTTCTGATGTCTGYAGGTGCAGATGAGCAGATGGGTGGGTGTGTAGCAGCACAGGATTTATGCATTATTAGAAACCAATTCTTAATAAAATTGCACTTGTGGATGTCAGAAGAACCTTMAGTGAATTACTCAGGCTGGTATTAAACTGTCACTAAATGCTCGGTGGCACTGATGTGTTTTACTTCTCCCTTTGAATACTCAAATGCTTTTGTTCTGGGATTTTTTCCCCCTCACAAAGGTAACTTTTTAATCTTTTTATTCATTCTGTGTTCAGCATAAATGAACATGCCAGGAATATTTTATCAGTGTGATTAAAGACAACAGTGGCACATGATTTCCACTCTTTTACAGGATTCTACATTGAAATTGTAAGGAAAATCACCTGCTGACTGAAATAGTGGTTTCCACTCAGATATTTGTGATGCTTCCCCAGATACTTTTTTCATTAAATTGCATTTTAAGGAATTGCTAATTCTTATTTATCTATCTATAAATTGTCACTATGTCTTTGCTTTTAATCATTTTGATGCATTATTTTCTTAGGAGGAGTAAATTGCTCTGTGATGCTCAGTTCCTGACTGTAATAGTTGCACTTAAACATATTTTCCGTGTTGTCCATGAAGCAATGAAATTCCTGCTTTGCTTGGTTTTAACTATGGAACCCCTTATCCTTTGTAAACTTCGGATTTCTGAAGAGATGCTCARTTTCTTTGCAGAATTCCACAACTCTATCTCGTGTCCTCAGGACTAAATTGAACAGAGAATTTAGGGGAAGTTTTATATTCACATTGCTCAGTATTTTAAGGATTGGTGGTGTGGCTATGCCAAGATATCCCATGGGACTGGAATGACGAGGCACTGCTTGTCAGACAAGAAATCTSCAGTGCCTATCAGGAAAAAATAAAATGGAGTTGAATCCTGAAAAAAACAGCCAATGTGGAGAGGTTGTTTAAATTCCATAATCCAATTTTCCAGCAGTAATTTGKGTGTGAATCCTTGGAGTTCAACTGTCCACACCTGTGGAGCCATCAYCTACCTGAATTTGGGCTGGCAGGGGGCAAATCTGGTGTAAAAGGAGGAGTTGGTCTCCCTGATGGAATATTGAGAGCTGTGGTATCTCTCATAGCCCCATTCTGTGCTGATGCCCAGGAAATACTGCATTGATTGTGCTCTAAGCCTATGCAAAATCTCCCCAAAACCCCTGAATGAAGTTGTAAATCCATCCTAACCCACCTATCTGAAGTCTAATCTCTATTTTATTTATTTTTACATGCCACTGGGAAGGATAAGGGAAGATGAAAGTGAGAATGGTATTTTTTAAACAAGATCTTATAAAGAATTTAGGAAATTATTGTTGAAGCTTTAGAGGAAAAGTATTTTCTAATGTAATTGCGTTTTAAAAAAAAATTGCTTATCTGTTGGTTGTGGAATAGATTGGAGGTGTTTCCAGGGTGACTTCAGTGGACACTGCCTGCARTTTTTCTTACAAATTGCTCCTTAGAATTATTGATAGAGAGATCTCTTGAAATATTAATTAGTTTTGGTTTAGCAAGTTGCAGTTCCAGGTAGGGAGATGCTAAATCTGTATTATCGACAGTCAGTTTATTTAATGTCATAGTATTTAACTGCCTRCTTTGTTGATCTATTTATCCTGTACCATTAAMCACTCTAAGCCTTTTTGTCTTTTTRTTTCCTTCCATCTTTGGAACCGGTTTTAGAGCCAAGTTCCTACAGTTCCCATCCACATTTGTATTTAAATGCTGCTGTTGCTGCAGTSGGGGCCTGACACTGGGACTGGGTTTTCCTTGGCTAACATGAGGTCACGCAGATAAAGACCAGCAATTCTTCTTTCCTTGATGCAGCAATTGATGCTCTTGTCCTGTTGATTTATGCCTGGCAGAAATTCCTGAATTATCCCCTGGAGAATTGGATGCTCTCAGGTCTTTTTGCGCCAAGATGATCAGCGGGATGCAGCAGGAGCAGGCTGGGAGTGGCAAGTCCAGGAAGCCACAGTGTGGAKTCCCAGCAAGGCAAACTGAGGCAGGAGATTGGAGCTGTGTGGTTCCTGCTCGGCTGATGAACAGGATCCTGCTGGACAACACCAGGGAGACTGTGAAACAGGTACTGCAGGAACAGAAATGGAGATTGTCCTTCACTTCTTGGGGAGCCACTGGAGAAAAAAGCTGGAATATCAGGATCGAGTCAGGCAGACTTTACTGGTGCCAGGCTCACTTCTCTGAAACAGATTCTGGGTTGATAACCCAATATTTAGTTTTTTTTATTTCTTAGACACCACTGGAGAACTGTTGCTAGCAAATAATCATCATCAAACATTGTCTGGTGATAAAACTCTGATTTGTGTGATTGAGCAAGGGTGGGATCATCAGTTATTGCAGCCCACAAGAAGCCCTGGATCAGCTGATGAAAAAAGCCTGATTTTCTGGTTGTGTTTGCACCAATCATTTATCAAATTATTCTGCATATTATTTGTTGTGAAGTCTTTGTTGACTCCAGGATCAGAAGAATTCCAAAGGCAAAACCTCCCCATACTCCCAGCTTTCTTAGGCATTAARTAATATTAATGAAAGCAGCTCCAATAAAATCTCGGTGACCTTAGTCCCTGATTAAGCAACATTTGTCTCATCTTTACCCAATTCAGAGCATTTTTTGGTCACCAGCCCAGTGTATTTTTGCCACCACAGGATGGACTTTCTGCCCCAACTACTCCCCTCAGCTCCGTGCCTGAAAATAAAACTKTAAAATCAGTTCTGGTGAGGTGATTATTTCAGGCCTCCTGTCTTTTAAAATTATTTTGACATTTCAGCCATATTAATTTTTAAATTCCATTAATATTAACCCACTTTCCAAATTCTTTAGAATTTTTATTTCCTCTTTGTTTGTCTTACATTGTGGGAATATATTCCCTAAGAAAAGTAACTTGAACTGCTCCAGTTCTGTCTGAACCTCCACACAACAAAATTTTTATAGAGAAGTCAGGGCAAAGGACAGAGAGGCTTCAGATGGGACTTTCTAGGCTTGATTCTCCTGCTTTTGGAGCAATTTACTCTGTTTATGGGGCCAGATAGAATCTGTGTCAATTAAACCAGATAACACTATTGATATTTCATAAAAGCACCAACACTGGGATTTATGTAATGCTGTTAAATAAGCTTAAGATTTCATGGTGGATAAACGTAGGAATTACTGAGGAGCACTGGTTATCTTACACACAGAACTGCAGATTTTGAGTTAGATTCTGGCTCCCAGCTGCATGTTTGAACTCATTGCTCCAGAGTTTATTGGCTTCTTCATTTATTTATGACATTCAGAAATACAGTTTATAACCATAACCACTTTGGTTGGTATTTAAGGTCTTGCACACTGTCAGCATAGGAACAGTTGTAGATGATGGAATTATGACTATGAATTATTTTACAGCTGCCTAAAAAGCCCATTTTTGTCTTTAGAGAGTATTTTAATGTGTATTTTTATTGCTTGTTCTCAAAGTTGCCAGACACTGCTCATGGCATCCAAGTGTCTTCTTCCAGGTGACACAAACTCAAATCCATGAGACTTCAACATGTCCTGACTGCCAGCAGAAGGAAGCAGAGCTGGCCAAGATTGCCTTTCTCAGGAAAAAAAAGACTCTACTGGAAGCTGCTTTAATCCAAGAGAAATTGGAAGAACAGTTTTACTCCAGAGTAAGCAAATATTGTTAAAAAAATCCATGCACCATTTAATAGGTGCTGTAACTAAAGGATCTGTAAGGCAGATTGCCCCTGATTTATRGCAGTGAGAGCAGTGCCAGCCAAAAGAGAATTTGGCTCTGTAACATTAATAAAATGGTTGGGACCAACATTCTCAGCAAGTCATTTGAGCTTGCCTGATTTATGGAACCTGAAGGTCATTCCCAGCATGTCCTGGAATTGGTTTTGAGTTCCTTTTGATTATTTCTCCCTACTTTGTTTTCTGCTGGGCTGTCCCAGATGAATTGACAAATCAAATGCTGTGCTAGGAGATAACTGCCATTTTGGGCTTCCTTGCTTGTCCTTTGCTGTGGGAATCTTGAAATGGGACACTGCAGTGTGTTCTGGAGGCTGAGGCCTTGAGAATACACCAACATTTCTGCTTGGAATTGCTGTCCCTGTGTGTGCCAGTGTCCCAAAGATCAAAGCTTTGTTGTTAGGAAATGCCTCTGAAGCAGCTGGGCAGCCAATGAAATATATGAATTCCTTGGATCTTCTGTGGCTGTTCCTCAGGYTGATCTTCCTGAAGGAAAAACTCTGCTCTCCTTCTTGTAAGGGGGTCAGGCTGAAGGCAGGTGCCTTCCTGAAGCTTCAGGATCTCTTTCCATGCTGATGAGAAGGGTGGGAGTTTGTGCTGTACCACACTTTCCTCTTTTCCCTWATAATTCCAGCCTGCAGAGTTTGGACTCTCACCCACTTCACACCTAAGATTTGAGATCTTCATTCTCAAGAGAAGCTTCACTTTGTTTTTCCCTCTGCTTCCCTGAAAGACAAAGGGAAGCRGGAGCTTTTTGCTCTTTTCCCTGTCCCTCCTTAGGGAAGAATCCTGCTTTATGGGGCAGATCTTTCTGTCTGACAGAGTTCTTAAACAGGATCCTTTAAATCCACCMAATAGTGTGGATGAGTGCAGGCTGGATGTGTCATACAGGCCCTGAGGAATGACAGCAGTACAAACCCAAGTAATTCCATGTTTCCTTTCTATTTCAGGACATGCTTACACTTCTAGGAGAAGCACTCAGAAGCTTTCCTAAACCTTCAGAGGATCCCAGGGATTTGTGGCAAAGACTGAAAGGTCAGGAAATAGAAAGCCTGAAACACTCAGAAGCTTTCCCAGACCTTAAGAGGATCCCGGGGACTTCTGGCAAAGGCTGAGGGGTCAGGAAATGGAAAGCCTGAAAGTAAACATAACTCCAGTGGGTAAAGAACTGGGAGAGCCTCCAGTGGGCTCCAGAATTCCAATGATTGTGGATCTGAGCTGCTCTGGCAGTGATGGATTGGGRCTGCTGGTTTAATATTCCTGCAGGTGGAAGCCAAGCTGCCTGTCTTGGGTGTGAGTCAACTCTCTCCTTCCTCAATGCAAATGTTGCAATATRTTGTAATCCATCTCCATAAGTTTTTCAAATTCCAGGAGCCAACAGTTTCTATTATTAATCTGGCAAGCCATAAGTATTGTTTTTTGTGGGATTGCAGAGCAGCTCACAGCTGCTTCCATCCATAAGGAAAATAAATGATTCCGTTTTCCAGGGCAGGGAGGTGTAATTACTGCATTTTAGCTCAATCTTTGCCCACTGTCTCATGGTAAATTGGAAGTGAGAGCCCCAGGTGGAGGACAAAAAGCAAAGTGAACTATAGAAAGCAATAAAATGAAATGCAGTATTTATAGAAGGGAAATAATGCAGCTGTAACAGAAATTAATCAGCAGGACTGGGGATGCCAACAGGACGAAAAATGATAATAAATTAATCATGGAATCTATATAGGATTGGTGCCTGGGAGAAAAAAAACGGCAGAGATTAAAACTGGAATGAGAATTATAAGGAAATACTTTGGAATTCGTTGTAATTTTCTGTAATTTTTCAAGATGACAGAGTCTCTGTTGTTCAAAGACTGGATCTAGGGTTCAGTATGCATCCAAATAAAATGGAATTATTCTGGGAATCTCTGGGTTCAACAATGAAATCATCTTTACTGTGCCTTTCAAAGCCTTGTGCTGCTCTGTGGGCACCTCTGCAGCCYCTTTGTGATCAGAACTGACAGCAGGGGCTCAGCCCAGTGTTCTGGCTGTGACCTTGTGGCCTTGATTGAGTCAGGAAGGGACTCTCCTCAGTCTCCCATATCCTAATTTCTGGACATTCAGATCTCTGGAAATCTTGGAGGAATATCCCTATCTGTGAACATCTTCTCTGTGAACCCGCAGTCATTTTTTGTTACAAAGCAGAAAAGATTAAACCTCACTGTTGCATTCTATTCTCCCATTTTGCGACAATGCTCACTGTTGAAGTGGGGTTTGTGTTTCATATCCATGAGGTTGTTCCCTCCATGTGCTCTGTATTGTTTATAAGAGTCCTTGAGGGCTGTTCAGCCTCCTGTTCTCACTTACCACAAACCACTGGAAAACCTGAAGGGAAATGCTGGGATATAAACAGAAGTGTTAACAAAGTTCTGCCTTCTGGTCCTTAAAAATCTGCTGTGAAGGATTTCCCTGGGAGTTGATCCTGAGTAGGTCAAGCCCCAGGTGCAAACACAGCCCAGCCCTGAGTTGTTCACTGCTGCTTTCTTGCAAACAGCTTTAAAATCCCTCAAAAATATTCCCCTAAAAATTCCCCTTTTGAATTGTCACTGCAGATCGCCTGTATATAATGAATAAACTCTGCTTGTTCCTTCTTGTTACCCTGGAATCCTTGAAAATGTTTAAGTCCCTTAAAACTCCTGCCTTCCAATCACTCTGGAATCCTTGGAAATGTTTAAATCCCTTAAATCTCCTGCCTTCCAATCACACTGAAATCCTTGAAAATGTTTAAATCCCTTAAATGTCCTGGTTTCCAATCACTCTGGAATCCTAGGGAATATTTAAATCCCTTAAATCTCCCACCTTCCTGTCTCTTTGGACATACTCCAYCTCTGTTTCTTACTTGTTTTGGTCTGCACTCTCTGGTGCTCTGAGCCTCTGGAAGTCTCTCCAATCTGCAAACACCAGGAAGGGCAACCAGAATTCCATATGGAGCCTTGGAAGGGTTGTCACGTGTACAAGAGGTGATCAGGAACCAAATCTTTTGAAAATGTAATTTCATAGCACAAATTTCAGCCCTTACAAACCCACAAAARGTGCCTTCCAGGACTCTCCTTAAAACACAATCTGTGCAGGTTATTTTTGTTTTGAGAACGTAGAATCTTTCTAGATATACTGAAACATTTCTTTGCAGCTCCTGTCAAGCCTTTATGTAAATGCTGAACTGYGAGTTATTTGGGTTATGTGTCTGACAACATTTGTCTGTAGAACAGCATCCTGCTCACGTACAATGATGCACAGCTCTTGTTTGTTTGCATAAATGTTACAAAGAGAACTCAGGTAACTCCTCAGGAAAATCAAAGCGTGTTTTGCTGATGGCTGTTGAATGCATTTTCCTGCTGCTCGCTACAGTTGTTTCGTTCTTTCATCAGCAATGACTGCGAGATCTGAGTCGTTTTCTTTAGCAGCTCTTGGAGATGTGCGATGGAATGAATGATCTGAGTCCCTAAATAATTTATTTTCTAATCCCACAGCTTTTGAGGCTAGGAATCCAAAACTCTTGACAGGGAAGATGTGGGATAGATCATGTCTCTGCCTTTTTCCCCTTCCAGGAGCTCCTCCCTCCAGTGCAGATTTTTCTTTTAATCCAAAAAAACTCCAAAACTGATGAAGGACTATTGATTCATCCACTGCCTGGTTTGTGCTTGCTGGGGTGCAAAATGAGCGCAGTGGCTCAAGAGGGATTCCTATGGAAAAGCAGCTGTGGCTGTGGAACAAATCAATCTGCCTCTTCAAAGTGTTCTGGAGCTTTGGCTTTGTGTCTTCCGTGCCACACAGAGSTGCAGGATTTCATCTTCTGAATGATTGCTGCTGCTTGGGGTTTGTGTCCTAATGGAGAAGGTTTCTCYTCTCTCAGCTGTTTTATGCTCTGTGGGTTGATAACCACTTTTGGGGTGATGGATTTTATAACTGATTCTTTGGATAAACTTACATTCCTTCAATTATCCTGGAAATCAGTTTCCCATGGACTGCAGCACTGTAATTTTCACTTTAATTTGCTCTAGCTTTCTCTATAAAAAATAACCTGCATTCCAGGCTCACTTGTTCCTTAGTCTCCTTTCCATCCATCTCTTGGGCCATGGGACTTTGGATCTCTGGGGTAAACTTCCATGTCAATCCCAATATCCTGCTAGCACARCTCTGGGTAGGAATGAAGTTTTAGTGGGATTAACTTCCCTGGATATGAGCTRGGAGCAAAGATAAACATTCAAAAATGACCTGGTCTAGTGGGAGGTGTCCCTGCCCATGGCAAGGGGTTGGCACTGGTTGAGAYTTAAGGTCTCTTCCAACCCAAACTATTCCATGATTTTGGGGTATTTGAATTGGGATTTCCAGCTCCTGAGGAAATCTGTTGTGGTCCCACTGGTCCAGTGTAGGATCGTAGAAGACTCTGAGTTGGAAGAGACCTTCTGAAGGCCACCTAACCCATATCTGCCATGG